GGAAGCTGCGTTAAAAACCCAACTCACTCATTCTATTTGATCACCACGGACACGATATTCGCCCTCCATTATCACATATCGAATATTGACCTTCAGTAACCCTGCTTGTCGTATGAGGCGACTAACGGGGTCGGGTGGTCAGGCTCGCTGACTTGGTTGACACACATCAACGGTTCCCAGTTGCGTAGATCGATGCTCATGCTGTTGATCACTGGATTGTCTGGTCCAGACTCAATTATTTACAGACCACCGCCATATAGCTGGAACATTGCTGAGTGCGGCGCAAAACTAAACTCACTCACTCACATATCTTGTGATCATCCCCACTGTTTTTCTGAATCCAACGCTTCTTATTACTAGCTTCACTGAGCATATCATAACCAAAATGAGACGTAGTTCGGATTCTCCCGAAACATTCCCCACATGTCTCGGATACACTGATCACAAGCTGTTGCCTTCAACATACAACAACCACTGCTATAATAGCTCCAGGGTAAGACGAGCGTTCTTCAATGATGCACCTTTTGTGCTACATCAGATAGACGTGTCTGAACGACACAATCTCTGGTATATGTTTTGATGGTATTTTCAACAGTATTTACTTCAGAATAACTAGCTCGGTGGTGATTATAACAGCGTCGACGTCAGTTTATATTCAAGGATCACCTAAGGGTGTAGTATAATTCCTCGATTCTATCGCTGTATAGCATCTACGTTTCGCTTTGGCAAAAAACCCTTGTAAATAAACAAGGAGTCTTGTAAAACTATAATTAGTAGGCGTTGCACTTTGGAAGATATTTTTGCTCTTGGCAAGAAGCAGTAATAGACGCCATTTTTATCATCTTTGTACATCAATGTATATATGTACAAGGAGAACATGACACATATCAAGGAAATAGCTATAGGCTGGGAGCATATTGCACAGATCACGAAAGGTCCCACGTGTTGTGTAATGATTCATGCAATTTAGATCTGAAATCCTGCGAGCTCGTCAAAGTATTAAGGAAATCGTCCATTGTAATTTACAGCATTGTCCAGTTGGGATGTTACTTATTCGAAATTATTATCAACACTATTAGAAATTCCTGAACAAGATGTGTTCACTTAAACTCTGTATACACGTAGTGTTACTATGTCATGAATATTTGGATGCAAATCTGATATACTTTTATTACATATTCTGCATACATCATGTTTAACCTTTAAATCTATAAAGGACGATGGGGTAGAGAAGAGGTTAAAACCTTAGCACATTATGCTAAAGATTCGGGTTCGATTCCCCACATGGGTAAAGCGTATTTTTTGTGTCCCCCGCGGGATGTTGCTGGAATAATGCTAAACGCGGCCTAAAACTATATTCACTCTCTCCATATCTAAAAGAACAAGAGTTGCATTATCAGCTTGTCGTTTTTAAGAGTGGGCTTCATGATCAGAAATGATAGAAGGTGGTAGCTGTACGTTAACATTTATTTGCCTACAGTGTATACATATAATATTATTGTTCTTCAAGCTCCAGACATTTCTCCTGAATATCACCTCTGTTCTACTGGGTAATACAACACATATAATCTGTGATTAGTAAATACATTACAGGCCATGAGGCCATAAAACAACAAAAAGACATGTCTTGCTGATGAAAAGATAACACATGCACAGTTCTAGGATGGAATGCATATATCCAAAATTCTCAGAACGTTTGCATGTAGATCCATTAACACAGAGACTTGCTGGTAAGAACTTCACACGGGGCGTAATATATGTTTCATTGTACAAGGAATGCATATAATAAGCACTTGCTGCCGTGACTATCTGTGATGACATTTGGATGCCTCTGAAAATACGCTCATGGCGTACCGTTGCTAATGAGCACGATTGAGCTATTTCCAAAACCTCTTAACGTAAAGCAAGCCATTTGGTCGCCAACATTTTTTATTGCCTTCGGGACACGATTCTGTTTGAGGATTGCTTTCTGGGAGACGGCGTTGGCCATTTATGATATCAGTTTGCAGACGTTTGTTAATGTCAGCAATGAATGATAGTGGAATGAACATTTCTTGAATGACAAGACTGTGATACACTACGGGTGTCTTGTCTAATGATATACACATTGCATACATTGATATAAAGGAACAACGTATGCTTTATCCCAAGAATTAATGTTACCACTGGGAAAAGATTTTCAAGTTAATTTGCTGTTCGACATTGTCTTTAATTATTTTATATCAGGGAAATTGACTTAAATGAGCTTTTAAATTAAATTAGTAACACCATGTTGACGAAAGGATTTGCTATTCGACATTGGCTTTAATTACTTTAGATCAGGATAATTGGTTCAAATGAGATTTTAGATTTAATTAGTAACACTATGTTGATATCGATGATTACCACATCTGTAAATTCCACCAGTACCAGTATAGTCTTTACGACTAAATATATACATCAAACCAAATATGCAAACAGAACCCACTTTGAGCGGATCCTGGCCCAACTAAGAGATGATATGTAATAATATGCACCTGATAGTACTGACCAACTCGTGCCTCTGATGTAGTCTCAAATGAACTCGAAATCTGAAAGAGAATGTCGTGATTGATTTATAAGAAACCAACGCTGTAAACTGTAACGTCTTTGCCGATGCCAGTAAAGCACAGGAGAGTATAAATGTTCATGACGTCCATGACGTCATCCTCCTTACCTTTCTAGTAGTGAACAGGTGAGGGGTTATACAGGAAGGCGTTTGTGAGGAGGGTTATTCCGGTCTAGGACGCTTTCGGAAAGAACCACATGTCGGGGGTTGTGTAAATGGGCAGCGTCGCAAATAATTTTTTTAACAGTTGCTCTGACTCAACATTATTTACGTGTTATGAAATGCAAACTGCCATGTTGTGATATCAGTGGTTTGCCGTAACGGTTGTTTTATGGCTCTCTATGAATTCCATCTTATCTCTTGTAACAAATGGTAAAGCAAGGCAAAAGCTGTAAAACATGATAAAAACGGCTTTCAGGTAATTACTAGGTCATGCCTTGGTGCACATATAACCGCATACATGTTATTAAATTTCCAGATATCACACACAGACGCATTGTTGACTATTTTAACTTGAATATGTTCTTTAAGCGATGTAAATTAAAGCGCCAATACTGATTCTATAACCAGACAAAATCTATGCTTACAGCTGTGACGATTGTACGAATCTGACTATATCAGCTTGTCCTTATGGATCAGTATTCAATAATACAAGACAAAACTTATGGATAACAACTTCTTTATTTGTTTTCCATGACGTTTCTGGGCTAGTTTGGTGTATCCACCTGAAGAAGGCCCAGGGGCAAGAACTAGCCCAGAAACGTCGTGGTGAACAAATAAAGAAATTGTTATCCATAAGATGAGTCTTGTATTATTACACCAGCTTCTAAATGCCTTTGAAGAATCCCATCACTATTCAATAGTCATGATACCGGCGTCCCCAGGCCCCACAAACACATTTTGACCAGACGGAGTTCATATTGTCACTTTAGTTTAATATCTACATTCCTTTAGTCTCGAACTAAGGGTACATCTATTTCTAAAATGTCCAAGATAAGCGAGTTGTGTGGTCTGTGAAATTTGGTGTGGTGGATAGCCGAGTGGTTAAAGTTTTCGCTTATGACGCCGAAGATACGGGTTTTATTCCCCATATGGGTACAGTGTGTAAAGCTCATTTCTGATGTTCCCCGTCGTGACCATAGTCACCATAATCACTCACTAAGTGTACGGCTTTGCTGACGTAATACAAACATGATTGTTGACATGGGATTTACAGATGTGACGTCACTAACTCATTGTTGATGTCATCTTGATGTTTGTTTATGGACACAGTTCTCTCCATAGTGATAATACCAGGTGTTCGCGAGGTGTTATGCAGATGCTACTCGATAGGTCACCTGAAAACTTCGGGATCGTGTGGTACAAGTCAATCAGGTCATCGGACATCTGTTTCTACTGACCAATGTATCAAATATAGATAATAATGAGTGGATTAGGTTCTTCTGTGCATCATAGAGATTGAGCGAGTGTCAAATTATAATATCTATCGTTCTTCTCGTGAAACACAAAACGTCTGAACACAGTGACACATTCACCATGTAGTAATGTCTACACGTGTCCAGCGTGTGCGCCCTAACCAGACTGTAAGATACAATACTGAGTCATCACTATAAGAACAAGAACGGATATTAGCCATAACAGATATAATTTCTTTACCCTCAAAGTTTACACAATATGTTCAGAAATGATAAGCTTCGGGAAACGTCTCTCACTCCTAGTATTACCGCATTAAAGACGAAATAAAACTCTGTTTAAAAAGACTCGAATATAGGCGTGTCATCTTCACGTGCACGTCATCAGGTGCGGCAGCTGTAAATCAGATGAAGTCGACGCTGATTGGCTGATGATGTTGCATGTCTAGAATGATTGGACCCACTCGTACTTCATCAGCCTCTTGCCTGGCTTTCGAGATGGCCGTTACAGGATTCCGTACATATATCTCCATCCCGCTTCGCGATGCATGGAGTGAGAAGTAGTTGTTTTGACACAGTCGCTCCAAAGCCTTGCGCTTAAAAGTTCCCTCATCTATTGTTTTGGGTCGGATCATTGATGAATTCACTGATGGTGCCAATGGAGGCGTTTTGGCGAATCTTAGACCTAGGAAGTTGATATGGGCTGTGTATCTATTCGTTTAGGAGGAATGGTAGTTCGGTTACAAGGAATGTTCTTGAAGGATCGCTGATCTTACTCAGCCACAGGGTGACGTGAAAAACCGTTTTATTACCCAAACGTGAGCTACATACGGAATACCCCCAGTAAACTAGTTCCACCGACTCACATACGTTACCAGAGGCACTACTCCGAAACACTAGGACATGCTGTAATACAGACTTCACCCGAGACATGGATGTATCCTTTCAATATGTATCCTTTATGAACTTTTCACTTATCGTAAGTATGTACCACTTTTCAGGTAAGTTTGGAGACCGCTGTACGTTAAACCAAGAGTGCTGGGACGCCTATTCCAGAGGTGTTTGTTCAAGGAACGGAACATGTGCCTGTGAATCTGGTTACTATAGGCACGATAACCTTACTGGCTGTACAATAAGTAAGTATTTATACTTTTACGATTCTTCGTAAAACATAAATCTCTTTCAACGACTTTGGGTGATTTACTTTGTATAGATATGTTATCTTTCTGTATGTTATATTATAGACATTGTAAATTATGATTTTACATCAATGGTATTCAGAAAAATGTGTCTCCGATGTACATATTCTGTGACGATCTTAAGCTGCATGTTATATCTCTGTACTTGTCAATTAACGTATTTAGAAAATATACACTTTGCACTGGGTTAAGAGGTTTTGGATCTTGATAATGAACAAAAACGCGAACTTTTGTGAGACCTTACACTTAGAAAAACATCGCGCTGAAGAGTGATAAGCAGTAACAACGCCCTTAAAGAAACATTAAAGTAAAGCACACGCTTCTCTGAATCAATTTACTGTTATCGGGAGACAGTAATGGGCGTGCCTTGCGACAGATACAGATGCTTATTGTTCTTCGTGTCGCATATCTTATCAATACCTGATTATTTACCGTTACGAACTTCAAATTGATTAAACTTGACTGTTTTTAATTGATTTAAATGTTTCATTTACATCTCTATGTATATATATCGTTCTGTGTACCATTCTTCTTTTTCCCTTGTTTTTTAGTGTTTTATTAACTTATTTGCGCAGATGCATTGTTGTAATCTCATTTGCTCCCACCCATGTACATCATATGAACATTATATGATATTAATCGGCTTTGTTTTATTTTCAGATTTCGCAATTAATATAAACTTTCTATTGTTTCTTATTTTATAAAGTATTTGTAAATGAACTTATTTTGAATATAATGAGATTAATTTGTGAATTGTACTTTTCATGAGAGTAAAAGTTCTTTTGACACCTGTTTGACTTGATATTGTTTATGACAAAAACTAATATATCCTTTTTCCGTCACAGATCTCCCGAGGTGTGTGTTTTTTCAGATATGTTACTGAATCTACTTAAATACATTGTATAATTGTGATCCGTGTTTACAAAGACTACGTATTTTTTTCAACAGGAAAGATAGGTGACAAAACATGCGCACTTGACAGCGACTGTGAAGATGCTGTGTCCAACAGTGAGTGTGTCCAGAATGTATGCGCCTGCAGTGTCGGCTTCAACCCCTCCGATGACGGGACACAGTGCGTCAAAAGTAAGTCACCATGGTATATTAATCGCTTCCTGAATGTGGTATGTGAGATGGCGTTTTCATTTGATTGGAATGTTTTCTCTTAATGTCGGGGGACGCGGATTACACTGGCACCGCAATTTGCTGTGCAGAGAAGCGTCCACTGGGCTCACCAGGAGCCTATGTCCCCGGGCTCAAATATCAGTTTGCCTCTGGTTCTTGGTTTGACAACGACTTATTCTTGTTCGTGGTTTTCACGAAGTAGTAAAGGTCTAAGACAAGCATCACTTCGGTGTTTATCGATCCGTGAAGATCCGGGTTCGAATTGATCTTCAGTAACCAATGCTTGTCGTAAGAGGCGACTAACGGGATCGGGTGGTCAGGCTCGCTGACTTGGTTGACACATGTCATCGTATCCCAATTGCGTAGATCGATGTTCATGCTGTTGATCACTGGATTGTCTGGTCCAGACTCCATTATTTACATACCGCCGCCATATAGCTGGAATATTGCTGAGTGCGGCGTAAAACTAAACTCACTCGGCCTTTATCCCATATTAAGCTTACACACCGTGATATACCTCGAATATTGTTCAACACTCAATTCATCTCTATTTTAATTATTTGTCATTGCATTATTTGTTACATATATGTCAACTATCAATACTGTAAATTGTATTCGTCCACCTGTCAAAGACACTACAACACAGAATTGTTTCGAAAAAGCATGACTCGCCTGTAAATAATTTGAGTAGAAATATGCAGTTGAGCGAGGATAGATCTTGCGTGGATCGAGTCACATCATCATTATCATACCAAAATATGTTAAAATATGGTACTTGTTGTTTCCTGGTCTTGCTCACGGCATTAGAGTGATTAACCAAGGACGAGTCAGATCTTTGTCAGTTCTCTGTGTCTGAGCGGAGTACCTATGTTAAACTGTAGCATGGTGTATCAGCGTGGTAACACTATAAAACCAGTATTAGTTCGGACTGGTACACAGTGTAACATACATACACAACACACTTGCATGCACGTCTCTATGTAAGTGCAATGGTATTGGACGTGACGTTAAGTGTTAAACCCCATTTCACATCACCTAACCTTTATGTGGAGAGTTAATGTGAGTCACATCATGAACAAGTCGTAAAAGGTGTCTCTTCTATGGTTTACGGTTCGGCACGGAGCTGTATCATCCACTTGTTATGACAGACAACGTTCATCCCTTCTCACCCAGCTCCGGTAATACAAGTCTCAACCACGAGTCATAAACCTCTGTTGGTAAACCCGAGCTCTAACACTTGAGAACTTAGAACAGAAGCCTAGGAACAGCCATTATGATCATGACCTCATTCGAAAAAACAAAACAACAACCTTTCGTTTCTTTTTGTCGAAATGCCAAAATATTTTAACCGAAATGTGAATATAACTCCTCTGCAGTGATATAAAGCCATGTGTTACTTTGTAACCTTTTCACATCGTTGGATGTGATAGGACCAGATCACATCTTTAATTAACAAGGGCGTGAATCTGTAACTAAAGCAAGAACGTTTTAACATTGTCTTTACCAAAGTGTGAATATAACTCCTTTGCACAGATATAAAGCCATGTGTTACTTTTTAACTTTTTCACTTTGCTGGACATTGAATTGGACTAAGTCACAGCTATAATTCACATGGGGGTGAATCTAATCTTTAACAGCTCTTGGCTGACTAAGGTTCTTGGTATATCGCCAAATTAATGAATTGTTCAAACAATGTGATCTTCCGTACAGGTAAGAGATAGCATGAGACCAAATGTACTACAGAGCAAAAGGATGATGGCTTAAAATGAAATAAGCGAGAAATGATTCCGATAGGCCTTAAAGGTTTTTGCAGGATAGGGCGAGTTTAAGTTTTTGATAACGTTGACAATTTTTGGTCCAAATCCGACAGTTATATACATCAATGTAGAGACAGAGACGCTGACGAGTAATTTTCAGTATGGAACATAACGTTGAGTTTTGCCTAATTCATGTGAAATCCGATAGTGACGGCGGTCTGGGATGCGATGAAGATGGAATGTTATGACGTCATGATGCAATGACGTCATACCCTACCGTGATAACCGAACCCGCCTGATTAGCAGAATTTGAAAATGGACAAATTAAAATATCTATTTCCATTTCGCCAAGCCGATTGGCATAAGTTTGTTTTTAAAAAACAAGAAGATATTTTCCAAAAATAAAATGTGATTACACCGTGAAAAATCGGAAAGATTTCCTGGATAACGCCTGACAACGGTAATTGTTCTGATGCACATTTTAGTATGATTTCCTAAGTGAAAGTTCAGCCAAACTTCGTCTCACGTGGCACTGGATTTAAATCCGCGGCACTAGGCCTTCCTCCGAATTTCGCGACTTCGTATTGCGTCTTTCGTTTCTTCTAAAGACGATTTCTGGAAGTAACCTAGATCCAGCATGAAATGATAAAGTAACGAAATGTTATTCGTAGACTTCTAAACTTTATTTAATTTCTTAACGTAGATTCATGACTCAGGGATATAATTCACTTTATCAAAAACAATAATTTGTGTTATTCCGAAACCCGGTCATTTGCTACATTAGCAAATAGAAGATTAAAGGAGTAAGTCAGTGAGTTTGGTTTTACGCCGCTTTTAGCAATATTCCAGCAATATCACGGCGGGGACAAGAAATGGGCTTCATTACCCATGGGGGATTCCAACCCGGGTCTTTGGCGTGAACCGAACGCTTTTAACCACTAGGCTACCCCACCGCCCCCGAAGATTAAAGGACCATTTTGAAACACATACATACGTATCATATTGTAATGCGATGTCACATTTCACGAATAGACAGACAATCGTCATGTGTCAGAAGACATGTTGAAGATCCTCCTACTTGTACAGTTTTGTTGATGTACCTGTAAAAAGGTTCTCTTTTTGGTATATTTTTTCAATGCTGTAACAGTACTATACATGTGAGGATTTGATGAACGGAGCTGAGTGTTGCGGAACTAGATCCTTTATCACATAATAATGTTCTCCCCAAGAGTCAATAGAATTTGTCTTTTTTAGAACAGGTAGTGAACCGTCCTAAAGCAGTATGGCGTCATGTGGGAAAAAAACGGGTTAAAGAAAACATTTTTAGGGAAAGGTGTTGGAAATTTGGTGTATTTTTCTCAAAATATCTCTACCTTTTATTGTTCGAAGATGAAAGCACAATACAGTGTCGACAGGGTTTATAGGTAGTCTGTTTGTTCACTCAGGTTTTTTCTTTCCCTGTTACTTCAGCTCCCAAGATAAAACCGTTATGTTAACGGCACAGACTCAAGTGATATTTCCCGGTTCCTCCATCAAGGGAGATGCACTGTAGTTCTTGTGTATCACTCTACCAGATTTATATCTTTCCTTCACACATTCTAATGACTCCTCCTGACAATGCATATCGCCAAATTAGCCTCAATGCAAATATAATTGTGGTGTACGAGATCCGTCTTCGTGTAGTTCAGCTCATTCATCGGAAGTCCTAACTGTGGTACCGATTGTCCAAGCAGGTTCATATACATAAAATACCATAGATGCCACCGCGGAGAGGAGTAAGGGTGTAAATAGATTTAGTAAGGGTTCTGTCCAGATTGGGTTGCAGGAACTCTTTCAGTGTCCAGTACCTTCTGTTAGTGTGCTTCTCTTATTGACTTCTGGTAACCTCAGTCGCAGAGGTTTATTTGGCCAGCCGATAGAAGCGCAAAAGAATTACCAACCCAGCATATGTCTTTGAGGAATAGCTCAACGCCATGTTGTTTATACGCGAATAATGTATATATTCTTGAATACTCTTTAACTAAACAATGTGTGAAACCCATTTCTGGGGTTGCAACTTGTGAGACTGCTGGAATATTCTAAAAGCGGAGTCAAACTAAACTCACTCACTCTTTAACTAAAGTTTGGTCTTTGCGGATGTGTCTACTTTTTGGAACCTGAAAATCTTGAAATTAATGCGAGAATGAAAATACCGTAATGTATTATATTATATAATACGACTGGTTATTCAATTAATGTTTGATTGGTATTGCAAAGTTGATGATGTGCCGTTTGTATCATTTCTGTGCGGTATCATTGTACATCAAGCTCATTGTTTCCTGAAAGACGTCAAGAAAAGTGAATTGAAATACGTTTCTTCTGGTTTTAAGACGAAAACTAGTAACCGAACTTTCGGCAACACTACATATTAAGGAAGCACATTTGGAGAATCCTGAATAATATTTTGTTTTATAAAAACTACTTGGATTAACCATATCCTTGATCTTGATACACCTAGATCAGGACGATGCATTGCAGGTCAAAGAAAATTCATTATGAGGGGTATCGCGAATTGTTTATTATAGATGAGCATCTTAATGTTTAGATTCACTAGAGCTTTGATTATAAGAGACGCGTGAAAAGGTAACTTAGAGTTATAATACTTGAAAAGGATTAGACACATCAAGTCTCATTGATTTTCCTACTTGCAATTATTATATCAAATGATAGAAGGGGAAAACAGAAAATCGTGCTCGTGGATATGTATGTACGTTGCAATTGCCCACTCGAACCTTTGTGTTATTTTATTTGTGTTTACGTTCCCTGAAATGTACACGAGAACGTGATGAATATCAAGAAGGCTATGTTTTGTGCTTCCTTAATTATAAAACGAACACAAAGAAAGAAACGGTTTAGTCCTTCGTTGATTATAAGATATACACATGGAAACAAGCCGTAAAAGACTTGTTTTATCATAAGCCGGACGCCACTCTTTAGTACGTCATTGATTAAAACCCGGGTCCCATTGATTCCAAGAAGATACAACGAAACTGACATTGCATTGGTAACAGAATAGGTTGCGCATTGGTTATAGGAAGGACACGAGGACACGTAAATGCTATAATCAAAATGTCTTGATTACAGGATGAACACAAAGGGACGGACGGTATTTGTGGAGAAGGACATGGTTACTCTTTCCGCGCACACCTCGTCTTGTAATTAAAT